TTAATTTTGTAGAAAACATAAATAGCTCTGCCTAAAGGTCTTTTTGTTGTCAAGCTGTTTGCAGCAAAAAATTGGGATATGATACAGCAAATAGGAAAAAATATATGAAAGACGATATGTAAGTGGTATATGAAAATATTCTTAGTAATAGATTGAGGACAGAATAAATTGCCCTAACTGTAGCCTCCAAGTTTATCTTTCTGCTTGAGTCTCTGATGACCACAATTTATGCTCATTTTCATGGATAAATCATGGAAATGTTTAATAAAGCCTACTTTTCTTTTTCTTTCCCCTTTCTCTTAGTCTTTGCATCTTTATTCTTATCTCAACCATATGCAATATTCTGATTTTAAGACCCTAATAGCAATTTTACATCCACAGTTGAAATAGATCAACATAAAAGATTTAAAAAATTCCGCCTTAAACTCTAAAAAAACCCATAGAACTTATTTCCCTATGAATCAAAACCTGCAAAGTAAAGGATTGTCTTTGCTTACATTCTGGCCTGCCCCTATTAAGCATTGTTTCTCCTTTCTTTGTCCTCCTACCATCTTCTCTGTTCCTCTGGTGACCACCCCCAACCCAAAACAGGTTACTGTTCCTGAATTGACAGCAGAAACAGCAATTCTATTATTTATATAAATTCAGTAAATGCTTACTGAGTGTCCAGTGTTGATTCATTCTTGCCATAAATATGTATTGAGCGCCTGCCACATGCCAGGTACCATTGGAGAGGGCAGAGAAAGAGACAGAGACAGAGACAGAAGAAGGAGAAGAAGGAGGAGGGGAAGAAGAAGAAGAAGAAGAAGGAGGAGGAGGAGGAGGAGGAGGAGGGGGAGGAGGAGGAGGAGGAGGGGGAGAAGAAAGAAAGAAGGAGAAGAAAGAAAGAAGAAGGAGAAGAAAAGAAGAAAAGAAGAAGAAGAAAAGAAGAAGAAGAAGAAAGAAGAAGAAGAAGAAGAAGACAGGAAAAGAGGGAAGCAGGGAGGGAGAGAAAATTCTTGGAGCCTTGGGTTATGAATCACAATCCACAGTCTTCTCAAAACCTATTTTAAGAAGAGATTACAGTCTAATATAGGGGAGAAGAAGCATAGAATGATTACAGCAAGGGGTGTCGTGAGTGTCCTGGGAGAGAAAAAAAGTGCGTGCTGTGTGAGGGCTTCAGAAGAGGGCTGCAATGTTGTTTTCAAGCAGTTCTTTTTTTTTTTCTTGCCTTTTAAAATTTCGAACCCCTATTCAGCCTACCAAATATCTTTAAAATATATAAAACAGGACATTTCCTGTTGTAGGTAACTGAAACCCAACACGAACTTTTGGTCTGTGAAATAGAAAAGATGATGGCGCTTCAGGCAAATTCAATCCCAATGCCCAAATGATGTTACCAAACTCAAATCTCTTCCTCTATCTCCTCTGTTCTCAGAGTATCGGTGCTATCCTCAGCAAATGCTCTTCACATGTTGGTTCCTAGCAGTTCCAGGCTTTCATCCTGAAAAAAGAGCTTCTCTTTCTCAAGGGTTGTTGGAGTGAGTTTTACTGGACTGACATGGTCTTGTGCCTGTCCCTAACACACTTGCTTTGCCCAGGGTGCTTGAGTACTGAAGTCTAAATGGGGCCATGGGGCATGAGATCCAAATAGACCAAGAGAGGGGTGGCTTTGCAAAAGAAAATCTGGGTATGATTATCAGAAGAAAGCAGGCAAACCAACCTCCATCCACTATAATCAGTGTAGCTAATTACTTTTTAAAAAAATCTCCACTTTAATAAGTTTAGAAAGAGCAAGAGACTAAGTCTGTAAAATATAAAATCTGGACATTTTTCTAGCTTTTCTGAAGTTAGTCCCTCAATGTGAGTTTTATTCCTTGACCTGAAGTGTTATGCATTTCCTGATTTTAAGACAGATATTCAAAAACTAATTGCAAGGAGGTAAGACTTCTGAGTGTGTGTGTGGGTTTAACTGTTAAAATTTACTTAAAACTGAGTGGAACCTTAAATCCTCCTAAGAGTGGGCGTGGGGAGGAAACCACTGCACCCATAGCTGGAAATGGTGAAAATCTGAGCCCAAACAACGGTTGTGATAATGGAGAGAACATGACTAAGTCAGGAAATATTTAGGAAGTGGAATCATCAGGTCTTGGTAACAGGAAAAGAGAAGAAAAAAAGAAGAAGACGTAAGATGATATGAGTTTCTGGATTGAAAAAACAGGGCTGATAGTGGTATTATCAATAAAGATATCAGATGAAGGAGGAAGATCAGGTTTGGGAGAAAAGAGGACAAAGGTGACAAGTTTCAGTTTCCTGTGTATTGAATTTGAGTAGTTTGAATTTGAGTATATTTGAATTTGAGATTAGTATCTCAGAAAAGACACAGGTTATAGGCAGGGACAGAGGTGACTAAAATAATCAAATAAATGATAGTCAGAATCATGGGATCAGACAACTTCTACTATCAAAAGAAAACATTTTAGGGCGCCTGGGTGGCTCAGTCGTTAAGCATCTGCCTTCGACTTGGGTCATGGTCCGGGGGTCCTGGGATCGAGCCCCACATCGGGCTCCCTGCTCTGCGGGAAGCCTGCTTCTCCCTCTCCCACTCCCCCTGCTTGTGTTCCTGCTCTCGCTGTCTCTCTCTGTCAAATAAATGAATAAAATCTTAAAAAAAAAAGGAAAAGAAAACATTTTATAATATAAACATAAAAATTTAAAAACCAACAAATATTTACTCTTTGCCATTGTAGAACATAAAGATAACTTTTTGTAAAAAGCCCTTCTTTTCAAGGAGTTTTTATTCCTACATATACATCTTAATTAGTTTTGTTAGTTTACAATTGGTACATTAGATTTTCTTAACCTTCTTTGAAACAACTTCTGTTTTTTATTTTTAATTGTAAAAGCAATATATGCTTTTTGTAAAGGAAATATAAGCAAAATATAAAGAAGAAAATTAAAATCACCTGTAATTCCACTTTGCAGATATAATCACAATTTTGGAGTATTTTTTTCATCTTTTTCTAATTACATTTTATACACAATTTTTTTCAGAGTTTTGATAACATACATATTTGCAGTTTTGTATTTGCTTTTGCATTTAACATTGTCTTGAGTATTTTCCATGTCATTAAAAAAATCTTCATATTAATAATTTTCATGGTCATATAGCATTCTATCTATTGGACATTCATCTCCTTTCTGATGGACATTTATGTTGTTTCCAATCTTTTTTTTTTTTAAAGATTTTATTTATTTATTTGACAGAGAGAGACACAGCAAGAGAAGGAACACAAGCAGGGGGAGTGGGAGAGGGAGAAGCAGACCTCCCGCTGAGCAGGGAGCCCGATGCGGGGCTAGATCCTAGGACGCTGGGATCATGACCTGAGCCGAAGGCAGACGCTTAACGACTGAGCCACCCAGGCGCCCCTGTTTCCAGTCTTTCAATGTTATAGATCATGTGTTAATATTTTTCATATTTTGCCCATCTATGGTTTTGTAGAATAGAATTCTGAAAGTGGAACTAATGAATCAAAGTATGTAAATGTCTTTAAGTGTCTTGATACATAATGCCAAATTTTAATTTCCAGTAAGCTGGTAGTAATTAATGCTTCTTTCCAGCAAGCAATAGGAGAATCTCTGTCATACTTACCAGGAGTAAGATGTCTAATTTAAAACAAACTTTACTAATTTGACTAATAAGACATTACATTATTATGATTAAAAGTAAATTATATTGGGTGAAAGAAGCCAGACCAAAAAAAAAAGAGTATTCTGAATGCTAATATTTATATAGAACTCTGGAAAATGGGAACTCCAAATGATAGAAAGCAGATCAGTGGTCACCTGGGAACCAGGGATCAGGTAGCAAGAGGGAGGAATTATCAAGGGGCAAGAGGAAAGTTTTGGGGGTGATGGATATGTTCACTATTTTGATTGTGGTGATGTTTTCATGGGTGTATGCAATTGTGGAACTTACCAAATCGTACACTTTGAAAATGTGCAGTTAGTTGTATATCAATTCTCTTCAATAAAGCTGTTTAACAATTGTTTAAAAATATTGTTTTAATCTGACTTTAAAAAATTATTGTGTGAACATTTTCACGTTTTTAAAAAAGATTTATTTGAGAGAGAGAGAGGGAGAGAGAGAACGAGTGCGGGAGGGGTAGAGGGAGAAAATCCCCAGCCCAACTCCCATCTGAGTGGGAGTTGATCCCAGGAACCTGAGACCATGACCTGAGCCGAAATCAAGAGTCAGCTGCTCAACTGACTGAGCCACCCAGGTGCCCCACATTTTCACATTTTAGTTATGAGTATACACTTCTGTGATTTTTTGTGTTCTTTATGAATGTTTCTACATTCTAAGGTGGAGACCTTAGCACTTTTCTCCTGGATTTGTGAACTCTACACATTATGAAAATTCACCCTCAGAGTTCTCCAGATTTCTTTTCTCTTGTAATTTTGCACTCTGTTACTGCATGCTTTGGGGGTTCATTTATTTGTGCAAGATAATTTTATTTATTTTATTGTTTTGGGTACAAAATAATTTTAACCTAGAGGATGTACTACAACCCTACAAATCTCTAAACTACAATAAACTGTCCATTATCACTTTGCAAAACCAAAAAATATCTTTTAAACAAAATTACATCCAAGGCCGTCAGAATTGGATCTAAAATATATTGCACGTCTGTTTTGATGTTTTGGAACTATTTTTTAAGTTACTATGACATAGTAAACAGTGGAGATGAAGGACCTTTTTAAACAAAAATTATACGACAGCACTCTGGCAGTTTGGCCAGGAGTCCTTTCGCTTACAGAGGCATGGAATAATTCCCTTCCCTGACTTTCTTGGGCTCCTCCTTTGGCGGCTTACACAGGAAACCAAAGATGGATAATGCCACAGATGAGCTCACGCTGGCATGACGTCAAGAAGCCTTGACGTCAGAAGGCGGTTGCCACGGGGACCATTCGCCACCGACGGCAGAGTCGTGAAACCTCATCACCGCACTCGGCTCCCTTTCGGCCTATGCAGGGTCGAAGCTGCTAAAGAAGCTTTAACCTTAAGGGGGCCTCAGGGAGAGAAGAGTTGTGCTGCTGCCGCCGAGAGCCCCACCTCCGCGGCTCCGGGTCCCGGGTCCCGGCCTGTGGCTGCGAACGGCGGCTTCAGGAGGCAGCGGAGGCGGCGGCGACCGACCTGCCGGGTCTCCCCCGCTCCGTGCAGGACTGGGAGAGGGGATCCGCCATATTGGAGCCGGAACGGAAGGTGCCTTGCAGCCGCAGCGCGAGGCGGGTGGCGGTGGCGGCTCTGGCCTGGATGTGAGCGGAGTCGGCTGCGCTGGGGCCCGCAAGCCTGGGGAGTGAATGAGCTGCTTACGCTAGTATCCTCCCCGCCCACTCTCTCCACTTTCCGCCGCCGGGGCCGGGGCCGGACCGGGAGGGGGCTGGAGTCGGCCGTGGCGGCGGCAGCGGCGGCGGCAGCGGCAGGATGTTCTCCAAGAAGCCGCACGGGGACGTGAAGAAGTCTACCCAGAAGGTGCTGGATACCAAGAAGGACGCGCTGACCCGTCTCAAGCACCTGCGCATCGTCATCGGTGAGGAGCGAGGGGTGGTGGCGCCCAAAGGCCTTCCCTCCTCTGGGAGCCCCTGGGGACTCTCCCGCCCTCCCTGGCTCTGTGCGGGAATAGAGGGCGAGGCGTCGCCTCCGCAGAGACGCGGGAGGGCGGATAATTTGGGGAAGGGAAAACTTGGCAGTTGACAGATACTAATCACCACCGACACAGGGTTACCTAATTTTGAGTTAATAGTCCGAGCTCATTTTTACAAACTAGCATTACTCTAAAAATTTAGATCTTTTTTAGACTTTCCGGAGGCTTGGTGTTGTCGATAATGGTGTTTATAGAATATGTATGTCAGGTGACTACCGCCGTCCCCATCCAAGTGGGGGGAAAAAAAAAACCCCTAAACTCAAACAGTATAAACCTTAATCTTTCAAGTTCCTTGGCTACTGAGGGCGAGGAAGCAGTTACACCTCTGGGAAGTGGCTGGTTTCCAAAAATCTTAGGGCAAGAGCCCCGCCCTTCTGTTAAAGTACCTTGTTCATCATTGCTGTCACTTAGAGGGAAGATTATTATTAATTACAGAAAACAAAGTCGTTTATAACTTCCTTTGCTTCTTGAAAATTGCATACAATTCTGGTGTTATTTAGTTAAAATTTTCTGTTGCCTCTACATCTCTGGCTGGCAAACCAAATAGTGCTCCGAGTTGTGGTAATAGGGTTAAACGAATCTTTTGAATACTTGCTCATTTCATATAGGCTGATAAGGGCTGTAATGATATTTATGGAACACCCGGTCCAGGATTTTGATCTTTTTAGATGGAATTTGAGGTGAAAAGTAAAGTTACTTTGCTTGTGTTGGTACAGAGAGTTATTGGCAGGACTAAGTTTAGAACCCAGATGCCTGAATCCTAGTTCAGAGTTTATTATCCTAAGCTCTCTTTTTAATGAGTGTTTTTCTGAAAAGTGACGTTTAATTAGTGAAGTAAGTCCTGTATTTGAGCTGTGTGTTTCTCTGTTGTTTATTCATACCATCAGGATACTACCACCACCATTTGTATGGTTTACAAAATGATTTCACATAAATTATAATTAATCCTCACAGTAACTATAGAGGTAGGTATTATTATACTCCATATTTTACAAATGACAAAGCTGAGGTTTGGGAATGTTAAGTAGTCATCCAGCTACTAGGAGACCAGAACTGGAGCCCAGGTTTCATATCTCCAGTTTGTTTTTTTACTCTTCCTACATTTATGACAGCAAATCTTTATCACAAGTAAGTTGTATTTATTTCTGTGGAATAAGAAAACAGTTAAATCCAGTTTAGCAGTATAAAAAGAGATCCAGTTTTCAAAAAAATATAAATCTTCTAAATATAGTTGAGACTGTGATCTTTTTATTTTCATTCTACTTGAGAGTTTAAGTCATTGAAGAAAAGGTTTGGCTGAGAGAGTGCAACAGAGAAAATCAGTGTGTGAATGTAGATGTTCACAGATAATGGCCGTTTAAAATTGGAGACTTAATGGAATTTGACACCTACTTGGGACAAACTGTAGGTTGAGTAAAGTCAGACCTATAAAGTTGAGTTCCAATAGAGTATTGACATTTCCTAAATTAACTGCTGTATTCTTTAGTTATAGAGTGGTTAGGGAATGGTTCCTACATACTTCTTGGGCATAAAAGTTTTTTCCATCTGTGTGACATGGTCTAAATTAAGAGGCTAGACGTGTTAGATATTTTGTAGGGTCTAGCTTCCTTGGTTTGAAAGCAAAACAATAATAAAAAAACCCTTTTTGTTTTTTATTAATTTATAGGGTTTTAAAAAATGGAGCATATACTATATATAAACACTTAAAATATCCTTAAGAACCTTCAACTAGAGAATATTGTGCTTTCAGACTCTCTGCCCTGTCAGTGGATGAGGTCCATACAGAGAGATTACAGCACTTCAGTACTCTTATTTTTATTTATTTATTTTTAATATTTTATTATATTTTATTTTATTTTATTTTTTTAAAGATTTTATTTATTTGAGAGAGAGAGAATGAGAGATAGAAAGCACGAGAGGGAAGAGGGTCAGAGGGAGAAGCAGACTCCCTGCTGAGCAGGGAGCCCAGTGTGGGACTCCATCCCAGGACTCCAGGATCATGACCTGAGCCGAAGGCAGTCGCCTAACCAACTGAGCCACTCAGGCGCCCTTATTATATTTTAGTTTAATTCCAGTGTAGTTTACAGTGTTATACTAGTTTCAGGTGTGTAATATAGTGATTCACCAATTCCATATATTACTCAGTTCTCATCAAGGTAAGTATACTCAATCTCCTTCACCTATTTCATCCATCTCCTCCACCCACCTCCCCAGTAAACATGTTTGTTCTCTATAGTTAAAAGAGTCTGTTTTTTGGGGGGTGGGGGCGCCTGGGTGACTCAGTCAGTTAGGCATCTGAATCTTGATTTCAGCTCAGGTCATGATCTCAGGGTTGTGTGATTGAGCCCCATATCTGGCTCCACTGAGCTTGGAGCCTGCTTGAGATTGTCCTTCTGCCCCTCCCTTCCAGTTCATGAGAGTGCTCTCTTTCTCTCACCAAAAAAAAATAATAGTAATTTTTTTTTTTGGTTTGTCTCTTTTTTTGTTTTTTTTGTTTTTTTTGGTTTGTCTCTTTTTACACTTCAGTAGTTTTATTTATTTTATTTATTTTATTTATTTATTTGACAGTTTTAGACCAGTAGTTCTCAACCAGGGACAGTTTTGTCCCTCTGGCAATATTGGCAACGTCTGGAGATACTTTTAGTTGTCACAAATAGGGGGAGAGGCTACTGGCATCTAGTGGGTTGCAGATATGCTGCTAAATATCTTACATTGCTCAGGATAATACATCACAACAATATTCTAGCTCTAAATGCAGTGCTGGAGATTTAGAAACCTTGAAAGATGGATCTCCAGGTGTTGTACTTGTTATGGAAAGAACCTAAATGTCCATCAACTGATAAATGGATAAAGGGGAATATTACTCAGCCATAAAAAAGAATGAGATCTTGCCACTTGCAACAGCGTGGATGGAGCTAAAGTATATTATGCTAAGCAAATTAAGTCAGTCAGAGAAAGACAAATACCATATGATTTCACTCTTGTGTGGAATTTAAGAAACAAAACAGATGAACGTAGGGGAAAGAAAAAAAAGAAAAGGAGGCAAACCATAAGAGAGACTCTTAACAATGGAGAGCAAACTGAAGGTGGCTGGGGGGATGGGCTAAATGGGTGATGGGTATTAAGGAGGGCACGTGTTGTGATGAGCACTGGGTATTGTATGTAAGTGATGAATCACTAAATTCTCCTGAAACTAATATTACAGTTTATGTTAACTAAAAACTTGAAACAAAACACAACAAAACAAAAATAAATGTACATTGTTTTTACTATATTAATTGAATAAAATATTCTATATCTTTAAATGGTTACAGTTATTTTGTTTGAAATATGGTTAATGTAATTCCTAAGAAAATGACTGTGAAAAAGTAGAGTGACAAAAACTATAAGGTGTCTTAGAGGTACACCAATCAGGTACCTTATTTTGCAGGTGGAAGAGCCATTTCAAATCCTGTATTTATTTTTTTTTTAAAGATTTTATTTATTTATTTGACAGACAGCAGGAGAGGGAACACAAGCAGGGGGAGTGGGAGAGGGAGAAGCAGGCTTCCCGCCAAGCAGGAAGCCCAATGTGGGGCTCGATTCCAGGACCCTGGGATCATGACCTGAGCCAAAGGCAGATGCTTAGCGTCCCCATTTCAAATCTTTCTGGAAGTAGGTGCGAGTTTTACATAAAAACATTGTGAGGAAACTAGTTTGCAAAGTGGGCATTGCCAGTTACACAGGATTTTTATTTTTGATTGGTTCCATCTGAACTATATTTTTAACCCTTAAAATGAATTGCCATTCAGGGTATTTAGAGAGAATTCAGTGTATCCAAATATATGAGAACATAATTTAAACATCCAGTCTAAACCTTTTTCCTGCCATGTGTTCCTAAGGGACACATGAGACGTTCCAGCTGAATTTTAAGAACTTGACTCTGAAGGACTTAGATTTAAATCTGTGTTTATTGATATTGCTATATGTTTTATCTGTAGAAACTGGGAGTTAGAGTTTTTAAAAAACAGAAATAAAGCCTTGTCTAGTTTCAAAAGTTTTGTGTTATCCTCTCTCCCCTTCCCGTCCCCTTTTTTTCAATTAAAAGCCTTGAGATAATACACTAAGTTAGCACATGTAAGGTAGCTAACAATGCCTGCATATAGTGGATATTGACTAAATGTTAATTTTCTTCTGTGGCAAGGTAAGTTCAGTCGTGATGATTTAAAAATAAGAAGATGAGTTCTTATTCAGTTAAGAAATACACTGATTATTGTTGGATCATTCTTTCTAATAGCTTTATCAATATAGAATTGGTATACAATAAATTGCACATATTTAAAGCATGCAGTTGAGTAATTTTGACATGCATATATACCTTGTGAAGCCATCATGACAATTAAGATTAGGGACATAGCCAGACCTTCCAGGTAGCAATTTTATCTATAGCCTCCCAAAGTTTCCTTTTGCCCCTTGGTAATCCCTTTCTCCCACCCCTGCATGCACTCCATCCCCCCCATCTTCCCTTGGGCAAAACTGTGTGTGTGTGTGTGTGTGTATGGAATTACACAGTATTTACTCTTTTTTGTTTGGTTTCTTTTATTCAGCCTTATTTGAAATTCTGTATTGTTGGGTGGTGTGTCGGGAGTATATTGCTTTGTTGCTGAGTAGTATCCCATTGTTTGGATATGCCACAATTTGATAATCCATTCACCTGTTGATGGACATATGCATTTGCAGTTTTGGGCTATTACACATAAAGCTGTTGTGAGGTGTACTTGTTTATAGACACATGCTTTTTTCTCTCTTGGATAAATACCTAGGAGTGGAATGGCTGGATCACATAGTTGTGTGTTTAAATTTGTAAGAAACTGCCATACTGTTTTTTATAATTTAACATTCTTACT